CCCTCTCTCACTCTCTCTCTCTCTCCCCACCTCCCTCTCTCTCCTCTCCTCCTCTCTCCTCGTCTCCCTCTCTCCCTCTCTCCCTCTCCTCTCTCCCTCTTCCCTCTCTCCTCCCTCTCTCCTCTCCCTCTCCCTCTCCCTCTCTCCTCTCCCCTCTCTCCCTCCCTCCCCTCTCCCTCCCTCCCTCACCTCTCTCCCTCACCCTCCCCACCCTCACACCTCACCCTCTCCCTCTCCCCTCCCTCACCCTCCCCCCCTCCCTCACCCTCCCCCCTCCTCCCTCACCCTCCCCCCTCTCCCTCTCTCCCTCTCTCCCTCCTCTCTCTCTCTCTCTCTCTCTCCCTCTCCCTCTCCCTCTCCCTCTCCCTCTCCCTCTCCTCCCCCTCCCCTCCCTCTCCCTCTCCTCTCCTCTCCTCTCACTCTCCCTCTCACTCTCACTCTCACTCTCACTCTCACTCTCACTCTCCCTCTCCCTCTCTCTCCCACCTCCAGCTCCCTAGCACCAGCACTGGGTTTAATGATCTCGAACTGTGCTTGTTCCTTCTCTGCGTGTTAGGCTCCAGGTCTGGCCTTGTATTGAACATTCGATGCGTGGGTTATGCAGTCACGCACGCACACATACATGTACGTACATACATACATTCGATGCGTGGGTTATGTAGTCACGCACGCATACATACATGTACGTACATACATACATTCGATGCGTGGGTTATGCAGTCACACACGCACACATACATGCACGTACATACATACATTCGATGCGTGGGTTATGCAGTCAACACGCACACATACATGCACGTAATACATACATTCGATGCATGCAGTCACACACACGCACACATGCATGCACGTACATACATACATTCGATGCGTGGGTTATGCAGTCACACACACGCACACATACATGCACGTGCATACATACATTCGAAGCGTGGGTTATGCAGTCACACACGCATACATACGTACATGCACGTACATACATTCGAAGCGTGGTTATGCAGTCACACACACATACATACATGCACTTACATACATACATTAGATGCGTGGGTTATGCAGTCACACACGCACACATGCATGCACGTACATAACATACATTCGATGCGTGGGTTATGCAGTCACACACGCACACATACATGTACGTACTATTCGATGCGTGGGTTATGCAGTCACACACGCACACATACATGCACGATTACACTTACATATTCATGATATGCAAGTAAACTACGAAAAACCGTGTGTTTTACTGTATATATATATATATATATATATATATATATATATATATATGCTCACTTGCACGCATCCTCGCACGCACGCACATGCAAACGCAACGACAGACAAGAACTCATAAACACACACACACGCATATGCACACACACATACTCTCTCTCTCTCTCTCTCTCTCTCTCTCTCTCTCTCTCTCTCTCTCTCTCTCTCTCTCTCTCTCTCTCTCTCTCTCTCTCTCTCTCTCTCTCTCCCTCCCTCCCCTCCCCCCCCCTCCCCCTCCCCCTCCCCCTCCCCCTCCCCCTCCCCCCCCCTCCCCCTCCCCCTCTCCCTCCTCCCTCTCCCTCTCCTCTCCCTCTCCCTCTCTCTTCACAACACTCACATACACACACGCAACACACACACACACACACACACACACACACACACACAACACACACACACACACACACACACAGCACCACACACACATCACACACACACACACACTCACACACAACACACACAAACAACACACACACAACACACCACACTCTCACACTCTCACTCACACAACTCTCACAACACTCAACACACACACACACGAACGTCACACACACAGACAACACACCACACAACACAACACACACACACACACACACACAACACACACACACACAACACATGCACACACACACACAGACACACACAGAAATAAAGCAGCACCACACACACACACTCGTGCTAATTGGCAACAGATGTTTACACCACACATTACCATCCGCATTAACTGCAACAAGCGTCAACATTTATATCCAAGTAACTTTCACTTCAAAAATACTATTGAAAGACAGAGGCATATAACACACTGCCTGATTTTACCCTGAATTCTCATTATTAGAAGTTTGACGAGCGGTCTACATAATGGCAGGTGGGCNTACAGCTTATATATGATAGCACATAATAAGACACAAGAGAGAATTGAGACGAGAGGCAATGATAAACATAACACACGCTGAATCTACTTAAGATGCATTCTGATTCTATTGCGATAAGAGAAATACAACCCGCAATGTACACATAACAGCTCGCGCTTTGTTCTCGATCTCCCTTCGCAAAGCCGGTGCGGTACAGAGGGATGAACGTCTGTACCGAATTTCTCCCCCTATATCCGGGACTTTGGTCAACACGGGCAGGTGCGAACCGACTAAGAAGATAAAAAAAAAACAAGAAAAAAAGAAAAAGCGAGAGAGAGAGAACACATGCCTATCCACGATACTCAGATTATCTCATATACAAATTCCCTAAAGTCACGCCATAAAATCGGGCAAGTCGACCGTCCGCGAACGGGGGAGGTTCGAGCAGACGAGAGAAACGAGAGAGAGAGAGAGAGAGAGTAGAGAAGAGAGAGCAGAGCCAGAGAGAGAGAGAGAGAGAGAGAAGGAGGAGAGAAGAGAGAGAGAGAGAGAGAGAGAGAGAGAGTAAGAGACGAGAGAGAAGGAGAGCACAGACAGACGACAACAGAGGAGAGAGAGAGAGAGGAGAGAGAGAGAGAGAGAGAGAGAGAGAGGAAGAGAGAGCAGAAGAGAAGAGGAGAGAGAAGAGAAGAAGACAGACAGAACAGCGAGAGAGAGAGA